GGTATCCATCACTATTTACACGAATAATTTATTATCTAGCCACCACAGCTAAACACTTAGAAAATATAGTTATAATTCAATAAGTACATTTTTAATTCAAATAATATGGTGAATAAAAGACCATTTTGTAGACTTAAATTGATTTTAAGTAAGTCCAATAAAATTGAATTAAAATATTTCTTTAACTCGTTATATTTTAAATAAACTAATTAATTTAATTGCATTATTGTATAGGTTTAATTTAATAATCTTAAATACTATTATATAACATATAAACATTAAATATAATTAAAGGTAAATATACGGTACATACTAACTGCTAATATGTATTATACACTTGCCTCAAGAAACCTACAAATAGAGTTAAACGTGCATGAAACCAATAGGTTTGAATATATACTGATTTACATATGGACACTTAGATGTTCTGCTCAATATTTTTAAATGTAATTATTAAATAGTAATAATTTAATAAAAAAAAAAAATAGTAATAATGTTAAGTTTTAAATAAAAAAATATAATTATGTGACAAATAACTACCAAATTAATTGTTACGCAAATCAAAGAAAAGAATTTGATCATTTTAAAATTGTTTGCTGGCGATATCAGTGGACAATGATTATAACTAGGTATAATTACCATGTCATGAATATGGATTAATCAGTATGAAGTTCATTAATGGTAATGTAATAATAAATTAAAATTGCTGAAAATGCTTCTTAGCTTAAATAGGTAGTATAAGTATCTGTGATGAATTCAGAAGGATTTATTTCAAAATGTTAATTTATTTAATTTTTAATTTTAAGTTAGTTTATAAAAATACAACTTGTGTATGTATTATACATTTATTTATTTATTTATTTATTTGTATAATTTAAACGGGCGAACCCAGTTACATATATTATAGACATACGTCTACAATTATATAATATAGTAATAATAATAATAATAATAATAATAATATTTGTTATCACATGAACACTAATTTTAAAATAATAATAAGACAATTATACAGATAGTTTCCATTTGGTAAATATACAAGTTTAAGTAATGTATGTGATGAGACACTTATGGTTGAAAATAATTCACTGAAAACAAAAAGGTTAAGAGTACAGAGTAAAGTTGTATAACATTGGAAATCGACTTATGAGAAATAGACATAGATTATAACATTTATACAGCTAAAATATTATTTAGGTAAGAATTAAAGTCCTTTAAGGAGACGCAGGAAAATAGATCAACATTTAAATAATTAACAAGTTGCATTGATCTATTCATAGGAGCATTTAGACCATAATTTGAACGTTGGAGTTGCACATAAAAAGTACTCAATTGCCTAGTTCTACGATTTGGGATATTAAAATTCAATAAAGAAAGTAGTTCAGGACAGTTAATATACCCATTCGTTAATTTAAAAATAAAACATAGATCCAGTCTTTTCCTTCTATTGACAAGGGTTTCAAGTTTTAAATAGGACAATAATGGTTGATACGATGAGTGAGGCACACGTTCGATACATAATCTGAATTGAATGATACGTAGAAAACGGTTTTGAATTGATTCCATGCTTTTTGTAGCACCGATTGATTGTGAGGACCATACTATAGATCCATAATCAAGTAATGATCTAACGAAGGAACAGTAGAGTGACTTTAACGCTAAAGGATTTACGAAGTCTTTACAGCTACGATTTATGAAACCTAACATTGAAGAGGCTTTATTTTGAATATAAATATAGTGATCATTAAATGAAAGAGATGGGTCAAAATAAATTCCCAGATCCTTGTACAGATAGACTCGATCTAATTTAATGTTGTTTATATAATAATTATATAAAGTAGGTGTACGGTTTTTAGAGAAGGTAATAATTTTACATTTGTTAATGTTGAGGGATAAATTATTTAGAGTACACCAGGTGCTAAGACGATTTAAGTCATCCTGTAGAAACAAATTATCAGCTGGTGATGTAATTATACGGTAAATTTTCATATCATCTGCATATAATAACGTATTAGAGTTTAAAAATTCGATGTCATTGATAAATAAATTAAATAGAAGTGGAGCTAAATGTGATCCCTGAGGAACACCAGTGTTAATTTTAAATAATGAAGAATTAAAACTCGTGCATTTTACATATTGTTGCCTTCCAGTTATGAATGAAACTAACCAAGAGTGGAAAGGATTACGTATACCTAGATTAAATAACTTTGTGCTTAGAGCACAATGATCTACTTTATCAAACGCCTTGGAGAAATCAGTATAAATAACGTCGACTTGGAGTCCAGTTCTGAAAGCTTGTAGGATGTAATTTTGGAGTACTAGTAAGTTCGTGGTTGTTGATTTACCAGGCATGAAGCCATGTTGAACATCAGAGATAATATTTTTAAATAACGGGAAAATTTTTTTGTGTACAATACTTTCAAATAATTTAGGAATAATCGAAATTATAGAAATTGGGCGATAATTAGTGACCAAAGTAATGTCTCCCCCTTTAGGAATCGGTTTAATATAAGAAATTTTCCATTTATCCGGAAAAACACCAGATTTAAGTGACATATTAAATAAGTATAATAAAGGGATAGACAGAACACATTTACAGTTTGTAAAGAAAGCGTACGGAATATTATCAGGACCAGGACAAGTAGTGGATTTTAAGGTGCTTAACTCATCATAAATATCGCTTAAAGTAATGACGCAGGTGTTCAAATCGACTTTCATCGATTTAATATCATCGGGTGGTTTTTGCATAAAATTTAATTGTTTGTAAATAGTAGAATAATAATTGGCAAAACTTTCCGCAATCTTATCGCCACCAGTAACAGTTTGATTATTATATGAGATAACAGATGGAATATTAGAATTTGATCGTTTGCTATTAATATAATTCCAGAACCTTTTAGGATTAGAGGCTATGGAACTTTGAGTTCTCTGTATAAAATTACTATAATCGGTCTTATTAACAAATTTACATTGAGCACGTAGATTAGAGAATATATTATAATTTACATTAGTTGGAGTTTGTTTATATATTTTATGGGCAACTTTTTTTGAGAATATTAACTGTTTTAGAGTTTTGGAAAACCATAAAGGATACTTTGAGGAGAACATGCGTTTTTTTTGACAGTGTACATCTATTATATCGTGTAATTTAGAGTAGAATATATCAAGGGCTTCATTAATATGTAAATCTTTAAATGTGCAACTCCAATCTGTTGAGGCCATACAAGACCTAATGGCATTATAATCACAACTAATAAAATCATGAACAATTTCATTATAATATAAATTTTCTTTTGTGGATGAAAGTGGAAGTGTAATTTTTAATGCAGGATGAAATTTATAGTCTAGAGGGACAAGAGGAGAATTTTCAGAGGAAACATTAACATTGACAATATTTGAGAAAACTAGATCAAGTAATGATCCAGAAGAATTGTGTATTAAATTATTTTGCATTAAATTAACATAAGATAAGGCAGATATAATGTTTGTTTCATACAGATTATTATTTGACAATCTAGGAATAATTTTACGGTTATTAGAGACCCAATTAACATTAGTTAAATTGTAATCACCTAACACCAAAAATTTATCATTATAATATTTACTCATAAGATTATCGATTACATTAACATGGCTATTATATAAATTTAAATCAGAGCGCGGCGGGAAGTACACGGATCCGACAATTAGAGAAATGTGATTTAAATGTATTTTTACAAATAGCTGCTCGACCAAATCGTGTTGTATAATTAAGCGATGACATGGATATTGGACTTTGATTGCAATTAAGACGCCTCCTCCTCGAATGTCGGGACCATGAATTTCGTAACGATTACATCGGAAAACGGTGTAATGTGGACAAAGTCCAAGTTCAGAGTCATTAACAGAACGAGATAACCAGGTTTCAGTTAATATAATTAAATCATAATTAAGAAGTGCTAGGTTACGTATAAATACGTCTAATTTGGTATTTAGACCGCGGACATTTTGATAATATACAGATAGATTTTTTGAGGTAGTTGATGTTATAAGTTTTTTGAGATAGTAGGTACATTGTTGATGTATCTAATAAATAAATTATCTTCGCCGGAATCACTACGTTGCTTAAGTTGAGATATAATTTTAGTAAAATATTGCCGTTGCTGTGTTGTCCGATCTGATGCAATGCGAATATCCTTGAAGTTATCAGTACTAAGTAATTTACGTTTTACTTTTAAGACTTCAAAAACATCGGATGAATTAGGTAAAGTAGTAAGCAGAGTACGAGGTTTATTTGATTGTTTGCCCAAGCGACGGACAGATACAGGATTAATTTGTAAATCAATGCTTTTGAGTATTTCATCAACAGTAAGAGTGTCAGTTAACTGATCAGGTAAAGAATTAAATTCTTGTATATTAAAAAATATAATATTACGTGCTCGAGATTGACGGTCCATAAGTTCAGAGTTAACGGATTCAACGTTAGTTCCAGGAGAAGCCGCAGTTTCTAAAGTTGTTATTTTGCCTTCGATCTGCTCAATTTTAGCTTTCAAGGTTTTATTTTCAGAAATAACTTCAGCTAGTTGATTTGATAGGGTATCTAATTTCGACTCAATAATAACGTACTTTTTTTCCTGGGTTTTGTTAGATTCCCGGCATGATTGGATAGATGCAATGATTTTGTTTTGAGTGGATTTAAGTTCATTCACCGTATCCAAAATTTGTTTGAGAGTCTCACTGGTATCAAGCGTTTCATTGGTTGAAGTGGACATTGTGGACATACTTATATATAAAGACGTTCATTCTCAAACAAGACATTTACAAGAAATCATATATTTCAACGAAGCTATTTTTTAATATTCGAATCGAATATATTATAGTAATATAGTATATGTGTATATAATATTTAAATAAATTAGTTTTTAATGATTGTATAAAAACTCGCAAGTTTTTATTATAAGCAATAAATGCATAGATATACATGAAATAAAACAAATAAATATATAATACAAGTTTCTTACTTTTGTCTTGTGCTGTCATTAAACTTGATGACAGTGTTTGCCTGATTTTACTAAATCTAGTGCCTTGTTCCGGCACTGATGATTCAGACCCCGAGTTAGTTTCTGGCACAGGAGGCACGATCTAAAAATAATTAAATATAAATTAGTTTAGATATAAATTAACATAATCAAGCAAAATTTCTCAAATAAAAAACAAACACCTACTGTCGAATTAAAATTATAAGATGTCTATTGAACCCGTGTATTTAACGTTCAATGATACAAATACAATAAAATCAACCTTCATATTATATTCATCAAAATAATTCATAAATGTCTATTTAAAAATTATTAAAAAATTTGTTAAGTTTGCAAGCAAAATTAAAAAAAAATCTGAAACATGACTTAGTAGTTGGTTTATTGATACTGGAAGTACTTTTTATATTTATGTTCTGACATTATTTAAATTTAAAACTAAGATAAATATAAATATAATCTATGTATATGTTATCATGTGATATAGAACACGGTTCTGAACAGAGATCTAGGAAAATTTGAAAAGTCGAAAAATTGTATTTTTATTTTCCAATCAACAATATTGAATATAAGACATATTGAAACTCGTAAAGCATATTTTCTTCTGACTTAAAGGTTTGTTAGAAATAATTGTAAAAGCAAATCATTGAGAATTAATAAAACTAATTTGATTTCTAATAAAAACTGTGATTAGTTTTATATTTATTTTTAATCAGCTGTAAAACATATATATTAGATATTGTTATAAAAATAAAAAAATTTCTTTCTAACTTAAAACTTTTTTAAAGAGAATAAATGATGTAAAGGTTTACTTTACAACTTTATTCTCAGCTTTCAATTGGTTGATATTTAGTATAATCATAATCATAACGGAACGTGACTGAAATTAATCGAAAATAATTTTAGACATCTGTATTCCATGACAAGAAAAAGGAAAACGAAAATACAAAATAATGTAAATTTAAATATAGCAGGGAAAGATACTTTTTTATTTCTTTTAATTTATAGAAATGTTCTCTTTTTATTCGTCTTTTCATTTTTATCTTCTTGCCGACACCTCGATTGCTTACAATAAATCACGAACAAACGTAAAACCAGGCATTTAGCCCACTGATTTATGAAAATCTGATTTCTTTTTTTTTCCTCTACTTTATTTTATTGCCGGAAAACTACTTTTAAACACTTTCTTCTTATACTGTGTTACGTGATCATATTTTAGAGAAATTATTTTCTGAAAATTGTATGTTTTTGTCGGTCGTCACTGTATTTTTACCGTATTCGCAATATGTGGTCTGGAGAAGATATTTGGTTAACAACTTAATAATAATTTCGAAGGGATGGATTTCATATTTTGTAATCAAAATAGCCACTATTTGATAAATATTTGACCAGAAAATAAATGGTTGATACCATACTATTATACTAGCATAGATAATACTCTCATATGTATGATAAATATCATCAGTTACATAATATTAATGAAATCGTTTAAGCAACTGATCTACAAAACACAACAAGAATGTTACAGAATTTTAATCATTTAAAAAATACCTACACAATATTATGTAAATAAATACCATTGACGATAATATACTACTGTATAACATATCATTTTTAATAAAATTAATTTACTATAATAATGCTCAAAATTTAACTGAGAAAATATATAACTTATAAGTTCTTATAATTAAAACAGTTTAAACTTATTTAGTTGTTTGATACAAATTATAACCACTATAAATAACAGCACTATGACTTTAGAATGAAAATAACTTTAAGGCTTTAACTTAGACAAAATAGATACAACACCAGCTATTATAACTGTGTATTAACTATTAATGAGAACAGCTTTTAGTAGGTATTTTCTTTGAGACTATATTCTACTACCTATAACTAACCTGTCAGTGTATTTAAACTATTATAAACAATTCAAAAAATAAAATCAGAACAAATATATTTTGGTTTTTTTAAAATTTAAACTTTGTTCTATAATTAGTTTCAATTTGTATTGCTAATTTTATTAATTCGTTTTAAAGATAAATGGATACTACTATATTTAGTTTTTTGTTTTAATTTTAAATTACAATTTTACCTTGTTACCACTAAAATATTAAAACATTTAATCTTAATAAAAGTAGCATAAATAAATCACGCAATAAGACTTGAGGATCAGAATCGTATTATTTGTTTTATTTTGAGAAGCCATATTAAACTTTAATATGGCTGTAACTAGTTTAAGTAAAAATCTATTAAATGGTCTATTCATTGAAAGTAAAACATGTCATGCAACAAAATGTATTTTAATAATTTAAAAACATATTATTACGTTATAAAATAATAAACAACATTTTTTTATAATGATCAATATATGTTTAATGTATTTAGGAATGCAATTATGAATTTTATACTTATCAAGAATACAACTTGTATTGATTGAGTACTTTAATTCATTCTAGATAGTAAATAACGAAAAATGTTTGTATAGATATGAATAAATAACTTTCTGGATATATTTCAAAATATTTATTCTTTTTAAACGTGTATGGTTTACCAATTGTGTCTAAGCTATAAACTGCATGGTCTGTGCATAGACAGAGCATATATGGCCGGCGGTGTTGAGTAGTGTGGTGACGGCAAACTGCATTATAATGATGTATTATTGATTTACATATAAAAGTCAGTATAAGGAAATCGGCGAAATCCAAAACCAGACAAGTTACTAGTACTTAAGACTTATTAATAAAAGTTTATTCATAATTCGTTAAATTCGTTTGAAACTTGTAAGACATATTCATGAATCGTGATATAATACGATAATTACGTATTTAAGCTGTTTTTGTTTTCAACTACGCACAATCTGGTGAGGTCTATGCACACGTGCAAAAGTGTGGAATAACACGATCAGAGATACCCACGTTTACCATGCTCCGTCTATTAGTATATTATGAGCTTTATGAGTCGGTGTATATTATAACAAACAAAAAAAAAAAACATTTTTTAATATTCAAAAGATTGAACTAAGCGGAGATGGCATTAATGATATTTATAATATATATTTAATTTCATTATGTTGATTCAAAAATAAAGTACCTACTCATAAAAAAAAGGGCGAGTGTATAACCCTGCAGTATTGTCCAACACAATTATTTAAAAATATCTTCTAAAAAAAAAAAAATTTTCTCATAATTAAATATAAAGCAGTTCTACGATTATATTATTTTACTAGAATATACAAATCATCAGTTATGATCGAAAATCGCAATTATTGAACTAAGCAAACCTTCTAAAATCCCCTCCTTATACAAATCAATCATTAACCTTTTATAAGTTGTTCTAGATGTTGCCAAAGATGCCGATACCATTTGAAATGAGGGACTATTTTCAAACTAAAAATTACATTTCCAATTTCCATAGCTTTATTCTTTACTATATAAAATAAGAACCATATATATATACAACTATCCCCTTTAATGTTCACCACATCTTCTAACACTTAAAACAGTTTTCTATTTATGTATGCTGATGTCCCTCAAGGCAGTGACATACCTTCATTTATTACATAATTACCATAAAATACAGTCCTTTGAACTTATGCAGATGACACTGCTCTTTTATCAGCATCTATTGCAAATCATTTTACCGCAAGTCTTCAACTGCAATTTCGCCTGAATACTTTTTCTGATCTGTTTACTAACAACTAACTGTACAATTAAAGAACCAATTCGCACTAAAACCTGGCAATTCAGCTCTACAACAATTGATAGCATCATCATCATTTACTAGTCTGAAGTTAAATATCATTGTCCAACACTGAACGGACACTTAACAGTTTTTCTTCCCTTCCACGTCAAGCTATATTTCTCATTCCAATCCAATCAGCTAATCAGTCATCTACCTAATCAACAAACACACTTCACGATTCAACTTTAAATTAATCGAGTTTTTAAAACTCTTTATTTTAAAACTGTATGTTGTGCCATACATCACTATTATTAATTCACTGTAAATAAGTTATCTTTTCATATATCTTATACTATATCCAATATTCTATAGGTTTAATTTTTTCATAAATAAAGCCCAAGGAAAAAATACTTGTCCAAATTGCTGCATATTTTTCTCATTTTATATACATATATAATTTTAACTTTTTTAATAATTACCTTATATACTTATAAACACTACCTAAATTAAACAAAATAAATGTAATAATTATTTATTATATTATAATTGCAGTGTGAAAACTTAAATAATGCTGTAAACGAACTGTTATCAGTTTGAAAATGAATATCATGAATATTAAATATAATATCTTCCAACTTAATAATTTTTATCTTTTTCTGAATATATGGGAACTTTATTTAAGAACAAAAATCAACTTTTGATCAATATTTTGAGATGATATGATAGAGTTTGCACAGTGAGTGAAAAATATATTCATAGGTAAAAAATGATTTTAAACATACATTTTTGAATTCTTGTGATTTGAATATCGGTTATATTCTATATATATAATATATATATATATATAATATATATATATATATAATATTCATATCAGTAAACAAAACATACCTGTAGAAATACATTTATATTTGTATTGAATACGGATAAAACATTAAACTAGAACAAAAAAAAAGTGAATCGAAAAATTCAAAATAGGTTGTCTGCCAGGAAATAGTCACATCAAAAATAAAATACGAAGAAAGCACGGCGTGAAGTACTTTTCATAAACCCAATTTTCCAGGAAGGAATAAACGAGATTTAGTAGGGAGGAAAGAAGAAACTCATATTTTATACTTGGGCACCCATTAAACGTTGTAATTTTTTTATATCATAAAAAAAAATTACGAGTATAAGGAGAACCACAGTTCAAAACAGCATTAATTCAGCAGGGCCATCTATATAGCGTATAGCGTGCACGTTGTTATTATTTCCGAGTGATGGGGTCTAATTATGTTTGAATTTTTTACACGAACTCTTTCCACCATTCAACCCTCTCCACTTCCAACCGTATTATCTATCATATTTTGTTGCCAATAACATAGCTTGTAAAAAACAAACATCAATCTACGTTCACCCACCGTTTGGTTAAAATTGATATTAATG